GACGATGCCGACATAGATAGGCAACGCAGAGCGCTGTCAGTAGTGGGCAATATGATAGCCAGGAGATTTTTTAAAGCTGACACTCAGACGAAGGTACATCTATTTAGGACATATTGTCAGAGTTTTTACACGTGCCAACTCTGGACGCGCTACACGAAGAGGTCTCTGGATGGTATTCGTGTCCAGTACAATAACATCTTTAGGCAGCTAATGGTCTGGGAGCCGCACTGTAGTGCGTCAACTATGTTTGCAGAAGCTAGGCTGGATACGTTTAATGCCATCCAGAGAAAACGAATCGCCGGATTCATGTCAAGGGTTGGTTCGTGTACAAACAGTATTATCAAAGACTTTTCTGAAAGACTGTATACTACCACAATGTACAAAAAATGGTTACAGATTGCAGCGTAATATTTGTTTTTGTATTTTTTAGTTTATTTTGTGTTTTTGTTTTTTGGAATTTTGTAATAGTGTAGAGAGGTTGGCGTTTTTGGTTGTTTTTTTTTTTTTTTGTAAAATATGGAGTGTAATGATTCCGAAATAAAGATTTATTATTATTATTTATTATTATTATAGTTAGGCTTCATTATTCCTTTTAAACCAAAATCAATTAATTCTAAATAATTTTTATATAACAATGCCATAACTCAACTTCTAGTTGGAACAAAGCGTCCTTTAATTACGCATTACTGCAAAAGCGTAGCCACTGTAAATTTATTAATAAAAAAATAGTCATTGGTCACTGAAAACTGCACTACCCGCTACACTCTTACACCTCGCGCCAGCCCGCAGAATGACCACAACATAATGACGGCAAGTGAAGCGTAAACCTTATTAATAATTATTATTTCGCTATTAGCAGCCGCCGCACTGGCCTCGATCTCTTATTGATTGCTACACTACGTACACACGGACACATCAAGCCACACAAACCAGTATAAACAGACCGTCGAATGTAAGGAAAGATTAAGCAAAACGAGTCCAGGATAAAGTGGGTATGTATAGGTCGACGTGTAGCCGTGTTTACACCGTCTTATTACTCGTGGCTACCGACCGCTACTTGCTCCCACGATGATTAACAACAACAAAATAATAATATCTGTATAATGAATGATTATTATTTTCCAGAGCTAGCCTAATAGACTACTACATTAAGTTTAAATGATCTGGATAGATAGTCATCATCAGTCGGAAGATGTAAGACAAGGGCCTCCCGATAGAGGATGCAGTCTCGGAATATTATTTGATCTGAATCTGGTACTGATACCAAGATAAAGATTTTAGAACATAGAGAACTCTGTTATAACTCTTCCACTAAAGGCAGGACCTTAATGCTGAGGGTCGTCCTCAGCATTAAGGTCCTGCCTTTCTGGAGGGGAAAAGCATACTTAAACTAATAACAGTGTCAAATAATTGTGTCAAAGTGACAAAATTGAACCAGCTATTATAATTATTTTCATGGTACTACGATTTATGTTGATATGCGAGACATTTTTTGTGATATCCAAATCAAATGAAGCGATAAATTAGTGAACATGTTCCTCTAAACAACTATACCATATACACTTAATTAAACTATACCATAAAAAGTACTTATCAATGTCGTGACACACAGACAAAAACTATTTCAACATCAAAGTAAGTTTTTCGCAATTACTGTAATGAGATGACGACTGCAAAAATCACGGTGATCAAGGACCGGCACACATTAGCCAACGCGACAAATCGGTGCGACTATTAACTGGAGCAAAGGGTGCGATAAGTCGCCGGTGACAAATGACGCTGCGACGCCGCCTAATGATGTCGGGGATTTAGTCGCAATGTGGTAACGTTTGATTACATCTGCTTTATACGACGCGACTCTGCTGTGGCTAGAGGTCGCCGGGGTATCGCCCTGGTCATGCTCTTCTGAATATGCGCTTTTTGCGCGTTTGTGATCATTAATTATACCTATTAATATTTGGCTCTAATATGTCTGCTTCATATCTCAATCGTCCTTAATCGCATGTTTTATCACAGTAGACAGTACGGGTATGTAGTTCAAAATCTAGTTAGTACTTAGTAATTCTACACTCGGTGTATGGGAACGCGTCCACATTGGGACTCTAAGCTTCTAAGTTTCTGGCTAAAATTAGACTTTTAGTTTACCGAACATTTAACACCTCTGTTTCTAAATAAGATGTATAATCAGGTACAAATTACAAACATTTTCAGATAGTAAGTCAGTTAAATATCTCCTAACCTTTTAGCAGATCCAAAGATAGTTGCCTCATGCTACATATGATCGTACCTATGTATAATATTCTCAAGCTGTCAATACGTAGGTGGAAATAAATCAGACATCTCATCTTGAGAGAGCCGTAGTGGAGCGTGACCAGACTTCTAATGTTATACATATTTGCATTTCAATATTTTTGCTATAGTTAGTCGTAAAAGCTATTATTTTCAACCTTAACTCTATTTTAACAAAGTTCATTTCAACGAAAAACACATAAATTATATGCTTCATTATTTCAATACAAGATCAATAACCTGCTTTAGAACTAAAGTGATTGATATAGACATGATTTAAAATCGAACCAAAAGCAATTAAATACAATACTTCAATACCTACACAAATCAGTGAGTGCATCAAAATTATTACGAATGCAACAAACGTAACCCAACGAGGAGCAACACAAAACGTCGGATTCATTCAAATTAATTACCTGTATAACAACATGGCCGCTGTTTATTCGACATGGCTACTGAAACACCATTATCCCTATCAAGCCATTACCGAGCTCTCTTGTGAAAAATAATAGTTATTCACATAATTACCCGACCCTACCCCGAGCGACAGGGACAGGTTCACTTCATTCATACGTTAGAGAGAGACGAGCGTATTCTCAGCGGGCCGTCTTCGAACACTTAAGTAATTGAATGGTACGGAGGGTAAGACGGGTATAAAAGTATGAACGAAAAATGGAAAATAATATTATAAGCAAGGGTATCGTGTGAAGGGGTCGGGAATCGTCGGGAATTGTCGGGAATCGTCGGATTGATCGTAAACTGCTTTGATGAGCGTATGTTTGGGCCGAGGTGTTTACTGGCAGGCTGCCGTTCACACTAAATATACACTTACGTAGATGACACGGCCTCGACTTCTGAACATTCTCGTATTATGTATTTTCAGTAAGTACCGATGAATGTAATGTTGTTTTGAAAACAGTGCTTCGCGTGGAGTATCTGAATGTTAATGTAGGCACTTACTTACCTCTCTTGTAAGTTCGTAACTATATAGAGCGGTATGATTTTGTATCAACAAACACACATACATTACTTCTTTCCCTTATTAACTTACTATCCTTATAAAAAATGAAAATATTCCTTTCATTTTGTTTTTAATTGTAAGTCAGTTTGTGCTCTAATTTTGTCAAGAATGCACATAAAACCTTCATTCCATTCCCTCACATCCAGTCAGCAGTTGGTAATTTACCCGAAACGTAACACAACATTAGTTCCGTCTCCATTTAGGCCAACTCAACAGAGTCTACTTCCATAGTGGCATGCAAGACGAGGCAAGTCGCGTCATAAACTAAGTCTCCCATCAACTGTACGAATATAAAACCAAATGGTCCAATGATAATACGTATATATTACTATTGTGTTGTTTTGCCGTCGCATATTTTTTATAGCGACTGTGTATCGAGTCGGCCGATTTATTTTTATAACTTTATGTAATATCGCGCTGTCGTAAATGTGTAGCGAGACTTATTTATAGTGTCAATACTTGTGTTGGATTGTAGCAGTTTTGAGTAGCAAGTTTTCATGACGTCGGTATAGAGTCGACATGTTTCTATACGCCTTGCTTTCTTTGACCAATATTGGGAATGTGATTTCAGTATCCATTCTAGTATCAAAAATTTCATGATTTTTAACCGACTTCAAAAAAGGAGGAGGTTATACGTTCGGCCGGTATGTTGCTTTTTTTTTTTTTTTTATTGCTATGAAAAGACAATAATAATTATTAGGTGCAGTGATTCCCTTCTCACCTTATCCTTCAATACCTAGTGCAATAAGAATAATAACATTAAAATTAACAGGTATTACAAAATGTAGTCGACAAGTTTATGTTACATTTAGATCAAGAGCAGGACCCAAACTCCCGACACCAAACATCATCCAGCAATGTTCCAAAATCAAGTAAAATTTGATCGAATTAAGTGCTGTTGTTAACATAACGAGGAGAGCTAATTCCGCGCTAGTATGATACCCTTATAATGACACCGACATCTGCTCCAAATACCGGCCACCTTCAGGACCATCGACAACCATCCTCCGGCTAATCATGAAAACGTATTTATGACCTAATTAAACTCGTGTCGGGCGCCCGTAGACCGGCGCGACAGGGACGCAACATATCAACCCCGGCGCGAGTAACAGGGACAGCGAACTCCCCGGGCCAGTGATTAATGATCGTTATATGGCTGGTTAAGTACCGTGTAATTTGCAAAACGACCCTTAATTACCGTAGAACACGGCTACTATCGCCGTCTTTGTCGTCTGCAAAGATTTCAGGCGCGTGCGAGCGGGACGGCTGGTAGTTCGTGATGCGACTTTAAAGGCGGTATTTAATGAGGCATTATGATGTCGACCGCGCAGATTAGGTCCTCATGGAGATGGAAATTGTTTGCTGTTCTCTTTATATTTGGCTTGGCTGGTGAACAAACATCACAATTTAGTGTGAACACATTTAAAGCCAGACCGTCTGTGTTTGCGTTTCAGTCTACTCAATAACGGACTTTTAAAACTGCGCTAAACTTTTAATGCTCTCGCATTGAAACTTCACATTTACAATTTAATTTTACTCTATTAACTTTGATACTTATTCAATTTTCACATTACCTATTACTGACATTTGAAATTATGTAAAGGATCGTCACAATTATTTTGACATTCTGCAGATGAAGACTGAAGGCTATTATTATAACAATGGTATTAACATTATGTTTCTCCCGCAGGTCTGGTTCCAAAACAGAAGAACGAAATGGCGGAAAAAGCACGCGGCTGAGATGGCAACCGCAAAACGTAAGCAGGAGGAGCTGGGCGAGGAGTGTGACGACCAGGAGCAGCATGACAACGAGTGCAGTGACGAGGAGGAGGCGAAGAGGCCGCGCCTCGACATCCACCACATGCACCACCAGCTGCCGCACCGGCAGTGATCCCGCACCCCGGGCGAGGCCGCCCGAGACGTCGGCCTGCACGCCAGCGCCACCTTCAGCCCCACTGACTCCTACTACCAGGAGTTCGCCGGCTACAAAGAGGAGGAGGCGCCCTGCGACCTGTCCAACTGGCAGGTGCGCAGGTTCGAGGACGTGCCGCGGTCCGGTGACAGTGACAATGTGAACAGTGACAGCCTCAGTGTGGAGGACGAGCAGCCCATCAACTTCGCGTACTATCACTTCTGACTGTACCAGTGACTAGTGAAGTGGCCACCACGTCCCAGTGTAGCACTTAAGGACTTCCAACTATTAATTATTAACTTATCGATATCTTTTTACAGTCACATTGTTTGTTAAACTCTAGGACGAGTGTCTGTGGACGCTGTACGCTAAGTGCTATGTAAAAACGATTATATTAAAGTAATTACGTTTATATGACTGTAAATATTTCTAGTATAAGTAGTCATGTGATAAATTATAAGTAATTTATTGATAATTTTAGATTTTACATGTATTATGTGAGCGTAAACTTGTAAATTGTATGAATCTTGACACCGGTGCCAATTTCCTATCTGTAGTTATACTTCGAATATAAAGAGTAGAGTTTATCTGGAAGCTGTTCGTATTTATTGTCATTCAAAGTGCCAGATTTATTATTATAAAAGTAATGTGCGTCTACATTAAGCCCCCACTCTCCGCTCTGAGAACTTACTTTAGCTGAGACAATTATGTACTTTGCAATTTCTTTGTATGAAATACACATATGTAGTATATTTCTAAATGAAGTAGACACGAGTACAATGACCTCACTCAGGCTGCGTGTAGATATAAATAGGCACATTAGCCCCGGCCACATAAAGACACACACTTAGCACTAATGGTGTGAACAAGTCATTATTTGTCAGTATTTTTCATACGTATAACTGTTACAACTTGCTGAAATATCTTACAAAAAGGATGTCTGTATTACTAAAACTGACTTAGGTATAATATCACGCCAATATTTTCTTGCTGTAATGAGTAAGTAGAAGTACCATCACAAAAATATTGTTTCAAAATAAATTTAGAGACATTAAAGTTACTGAACAAGATTGTAATGTTGTGTGCCTACTTTTAATCGAAACAAATCTTGCTACTCAATCGCAGTATTTTTCTTTTTTAATAGAGAACATAGAAACGGTCTCAAAAATATATTTATGTATTGTTGAATACAAAACATGTATAACAGTTTTGAGTGAGGTTATACTACATATAATTTTGGGGCTAAAATGCTTAGCCAGTTTGTTCAAATCTGTATTTAAATAGTTTCTAAAAGAGATTTTAAAATTTTCAGCATTTTATAAACGATGTCGACGTATAATTGTTACATTTCATCATAGCCAGTTTCTTTTGATTGTTTTTATTTTTTAATTATAATATTGTTAAGGTCATGTACAGATGTTTCCTTAATACTTGTAAATACTATTTAATAATTACTTATAACAATAATGTCGCTAGAGGCATCGCAATATGTATATTGTACATTTTAAATATAAAACGTGTAAATAGATATTTAAACGAATTTAACTATTGTAACTAACTACGAGTAGTGATGACCACGCCAGTACTATTATTGAGTAAATGTGCATTATTCGAAACTTTTTGCTGTTAAACTCATTCGCATTTTGTTTTATTTGCGTTAAAAATGTGCCTGGCACAAAACAGTCTTCTTATAAATTTTGATTTTGGAATTGTTATTTCTTTTTAAAACGATTGTATTACCGAAACAGAACCTTTTAAATTCGGGACGAACACTGTTTAGAACTCTTATTGACTGCTATGTAAACAATTACAATATGTTATCTATGCTTTTTTAATAGTTTTTTTAAAGTATGTTTTACTCACAATTCGTAACACAACCTATAGTTTGCAAGCATGAAATGAACAAAATAGTAGATTTTTTATTGAAAGACTGAACATTTTTTATTTCTATGAGCTATTAACGCAGAATGATGCACATTTATCACACATACATACATCTGTTACATACACCAGTAAGATTATATAGAGAATGAGCTTCAACCGTTACGAGATTAATTCGCTTATAAATGCACACAAATATTAATTATTACATTATTAAGTGTCTGTAACAGCTTGTCATAGTAAAAGAAAACCGCAAATCAAGCTATCCTATTCCATCCCGCTATAATACATTTTGAACTCTAACCCTTTGGAATATAGTTCGAAATGTATTGCAGAGTGAAAGGTAGTTTAATGTGCGGTCTGTACTGTACTACAGCATTCTAAGGTAACATGTTTAGATGATAAAAGCGTGGAAACTCTGCGTAATGTGGTTCAAATAAACAGTTAGTAAAATAATTCTATACGTTTCATTTCATTTCATCATAGTTATTTATTCACTAAACCAAAGTCTACAAAGTTAAACAAAATGAGCTACTTACAGTACTGAAAAAATGAAAAGAAGTTCAACTATAAATCTAAAGAACACACAACACACCTATTAAAGTAAATAATGTCATGTTTGGACCTCATTGTCCATTACAAAAATCATTGCCCACACTTGTTCTAAACGTCTCCAAACATCGCCCATACACAGTTTTCATATAAAATCAGAGGAAAACATACTTTGGAATAGTTACACAAGAACTCTCCTGAAAATATTCATTGTAAGTACATTACATTATGTTGCTACTTACTTTGCTTGGAAACCCGAACACCTCGCCATTCGGAGGAACAGATTATATGAATATAGAATAAGTGTGATGATACACACGTAGGCGGCGAATGTAGACGGTTTGTTCAATAAATGTTGGAAACAAATGGAAGATAAAGGATGTAAAGATATCAAATAAAAGTCGAATTTCAACAAAATCTCCATCTTCATTGAAACAATCAGACATCGCACAATGTCGAGACAATAACATTACCTCCATGAACAACATCCTCGAGGAATCCATTCCCGACACAATTGTACGGAGGAAGCAATTGTACGCATCTCAAGCAAACAAAGGGAATTCTCACAATCCTCAATTTTGAACCGTTTCCGATCTGTCAATAAAACATTGTACGCATCGCCGGCGCCCGGCTATCGAACCGATACGTATGTACCATCCTTACATCGGAAAAACCTTTAGGTAATCGAAGGAGGCGCGAGCGGGCAAAAATCGCGACGCCGCCCGTTGCCATGACGACCGACCAAGACGGTAAACAACCACTTACACAGAATCAAACTTTATCGCAACTCAAATAGAGTTGGTTTTAGAATGTTGAAGTGCAAGTTGTACTACTTGTACAGTCGTGAAGCGGCTTGTAGTTATAAATGTAAAACAGCGTTTACTGGCTGTTAGAGCGAGAGATCGGAGGGGAGTGCGGTGTGTAGGGGGTGCTGAGGAGGTAGGAGGGGACGGGGGGGAGGAGGGATGGTGTATTCTTTCATCTGTTGTGGCCGAGCGGCGCGCGATAAGGTGCCGTGTCTACCTTTTATTTATTACTCCATTTTAAAGCGGGGGTGAGTATGTTACGCAATACGCCGTGTGATTTGACGGCGGGTTGTAGATAATGCTTCCTCTGATTCTGGTGATAGCACTTCTTTCGGGATTGAGTGCGTGAGGGAGGGACTGGCACTCTGTGGGGTGTACCGTACTTACATCGTACTACATGTGGATACAATGTATGTACGAGGATAAATAAGGAGATTCAGTTCAAAGAAAGGAGGGCAAAGATGGTTTTAAAACCTCAGTTGTTATACTTTATTTTCCACAAAATATGTACCTTGTTGTTGTAGAAAATGTACATAAGTATGTAGGTGCCAATCAGTACGGCCTTCCTATTACTTCCTTCAGCATCCATTCGCCAAAAATATTACGAAATTAAAAAATCATATACCCACACGTAGCGGAAAACATAAAATCTTTACTAAATAATATCATCAAAATGACCGCATCATTCACTCGGAATAGACACCCGACACAATAAATCAATCGGTTTGTCAATCAAAACACACAAATATTATGACGTCGCCATATTTGTCTAAACAAACACATTACAACTATAAAACTGTTTGACAATAAAAGTCGCTTGTGTCTCAACATTGCTTGGTATAAAGTGACCCAGCGTTACGCCCACACAGACAATTAATTGTGAAAACAAAGGAATAATGAAATATTAAACATCAATAAATCATGAAGTCTGTTAAAGACAGACACAGAGTCATGCTGGTTGTCCTCAAACGTCATACAACAAGATCCAGGTCGTGTAGTATTAATAAGTTCTCATTTTCGAATTTGCAACAGCTCTGGAAATGCTGGGAGTGCTGGAACTTCATGTATGATGGTTTAGTATTATATCTTATCTTATCTATACTAATATTATAAAGCGGAAGAGTTTGTTTTTTTGTTTGTTTGTTTGAACGCGCTAATGTCCGTAACTACAAGTCTGATTTGAATAATAGCTGAGCAGAGCGAGTGAAACCGCGTGGAAGTAGCTAGTCTTTAATAAATAGACTCACAACAAATACATTCCAAAAGAGTTACCATGGAAATTCTTGGTCGTTTTTCTCGACAGGATATCTACACTTCGAAGCGACCACATTGCAATAGGAAGCTTCGCTAAAGGACTTGTACTACATCCTCTACTTTCAACAGCGTTATACTTCAGTTTTATTGAAAAAACTAATAAAATGTTTCGACTTTTGTTGACTTTTAATAAATCAATATCTATATAATTACTATTAATTACTAGCCAAAAAGAGACACAATCAAATATTAAAAACAGCTATTATATAGACACTGCTGAATAAATTCAACACATTGAAGTTAGTATGTGGGCATTTTTTTAGTAACATATTAATTTTTCCTTTCAATAGAACCGCTGACTAATGCCATAAATGGTGGAAAGTGGGTGGGTTATACACTGAATCATTTGGTTTAGAATAGGTTTTTAATTTTTGTTTTATCTTTTTAGGTCACAAGGCTATGACTACAGAAGGTTTATGATTCTAGAAACATGGTTGGTCCCGACCACATTAAGGTTATCTTTAGATGTTTGTTTAGGCTGCGTTTTCACTAGAGATATGTGCAAGGTTGCTTAGCGAGGGATGTGTTTGTAAAGAACCAATAAAATTGCTTCATTTACCTCGCCTCGGTCACCAAATTCTGATGAAACAGTAAACCACACATTTTCACAGCACAGCTAGACATCCTCGCACAACACATTTCTATCGCACATTGTCTGTAGATAATGACAGT